AAAGGCTAAAAGTTTCATTAAATAAATCTCTGACTTTCTTGAATGCAGCAAACAATTTTCATTACGCCGTGTCTCGGAGTATTCCATTCGCGGAGCCTCTTTTGTCGTTCACGACCACGTGCAACGAGTTGCGAACAAGAGTCACAAAATCTAAACTTCGCCCAAAATCTGACGTTTCACGGGAAACACGAGGAAATGCACCTTGGCTGCAGGTGACGAGTTTAAAATTAAAGCGGAGACGGGTCTTCCAAGTCTTATATTTAGGACGACGCGCAGGCGCGATCCGATTAGAAATCCCGTCGAAGACTTAGAACTTCTGTGCTCCCCGAAATCCGTCGTGAGCCGCGGATTTTCACGAATCTTCGTCACCATTACAGAAATATTATTCCCCTTTATTCTATATACCTGTCCCTCCGTGTTCTTTTTTCCTCGCATGGTGCAAAGTCGAGTTCGTGCCACGTGCATCAGAAGTTCGTTCGATAGATCAACATCCTGTCGATCGAAATACGCCCTGTGACGAACATCTTTTTCGAAGAGAATCTCGTTCGCCTCGAAAGTACGTTTCTGAGAAAATAGCAAGATGGATCTCGGGGGTGTCGATGTCTGGGGTCAGATAGCCGTGGAAACGTCTCAGATGTTCGTTTCCGAGGGCGGCGTGGTTAAAAGTCGTTTCGCTGGAACAGTAAGTGATCAATCTTATCGAGAATGTATCGGGGGAAGGTATCAGAGAAGTTTGACGTTTCACTGCCAGATAGTTCTCGAATAGTTTCAAGGATTGTTGATCTCTCATCTTTTCAGACGATAGAAAAGCTGCCGGACAAAGTGCTGCTGAACGTCTTCTGTTACCTGTCTCATCGTGAAATATGCAGGATGGCACGTGTGTGCAAGAAATGGCGGCAAATCGCGTACGACACGCGATTATGGAAGCACGTATCTCTACGGCCGGAAATCAGTGGGCTGCACGTGAATTCTTTGGACAATCTGCTGCACTTGATCAGGTACTTATTTTCTCAATATAACATTGGCAAGTAACGAGTTCGCCTACGAGGTTCAGGCCAGAATCAACTTTTTGCCAAGATACAAAGTATAAACGTTATTATAATACACACTACGGATCACAGAGTCGTGCAATATTGAAGCAATTTTCTCTGATTTCCAAGTACGCGTTTCGCAGCTTCGCTGAGGTATATCGAGCTACCGATCGAATTGA